AATGGTGGCACCAGAAAGATACACACGTCCCACCCCTCAGAGCCTGTGAATGTGTCCATGTGGCCAGCTGATGTGCCGAAAGGGTCTTTGTAGGTATAGTTAAATTCAAACTCAAGATGGGATCATCCCAGGTCATCTGGGCAGGCCCTAAATCCAATGACAAGTGACGAGAGAGAAGGACAATGGGAGAGGTGAAGGCCACGAGAAGCTGCAGGCAGAGACAGGAGCAGCACAGCCACACGGCACAGAGGTAAGGGGGACTGGGCAGGGTGCAGGGCACCTGATCTCACAGCACTGCGAGAGAACTGACCTCTGCTGTTTTCAACACCCAGCTCATGACTTTGCCTTGGTGGTCCTAGGAAACTAGTAAGATGGTATACAATGCAAAAACACAATGCATATGTTTTTGCTATGCCATTCAATGTCCTTTTAGACATGTTTTGGGCTACGCCTCATAAACGCTGAGGTAAGCAAAAATGAACAGGTCATTCAGAAGCAATTAAATTACCAATAAATATGTAAAAGAACCTCATTAATATCTGATATATCCATATAAAAACAACTTGGAAAAGGAATGTTTATATATGACAACAAAAACAATCCATAAGAGAAAAGATTTGTAATTAAACTTCAGCAAAATAAAAAATATTTGCTCTTCAAAAAACATCATTAAGAAAATGAAAAGGCAAATCAAAATTTGGGAGAAAATATCTTCAAATCATGTATCTGATAAAAAGACACGTATCCAGGCTGCCGCCCACAGCCCAAGAGCCCCGGCTTCGACAGACTTCACCAAAATGCCATGCCAAATGGAACACACCATGGAAACCATGATGTTTACATTTCACAAATTTTCCAGGAACAAAGGCTACTTATGAAGGAGAACCTGCGAGTACTCATGGAAAAGGAGTTCCCTGGGTTTTTGGAAAATCAAAAAGATCCTCTGGCTGAGGACAAAATCAGGAAGGACCTGGACCAGTGCCGAGATGGCACAGTGGGCTTCCAGAACTTCTTTTCACTAATCGCAGGCCTTACCATTGTGTGCAATGATTATTTTGTAGTGCACATGAAGCAGAAGGGAAGGAAGTAGGCAGAATTGAACATTTATTCCTGCCCAGATGAGAGTTCCCCCAAAGGGCCACTTACGGAATCTGCCCCTCAGTTTCCCCATGTATAAAGATTTCACGAGCAGATCAGGACCCTTAGAAAATGTACAAATAACATCCAGCTCTCACTGGGCAAGCAGAGAAAGGAAAGTTAGTTAAATGCTAGATAAGCTTTTGATTTTTATATTGTTTGCATACTCTTGCCCTCAATAAATAAAGTCTTTTTTTTAGTTCTGGGAAAAAAAAAAAAGACATGTACCCAGAAAAGTAATGAACTCTTGCAACTCAGTAGTAATATGGGTAGGGGCTGGGCGCCTGTGCAGAGGAAGAGCTGCGCCTCTCACGTGAGGCTCTGAATCCCAACGCCAGCACTGATGCTCATCCTACAATTACAGGGTGGGCACAGAACCCAGACGAAAAGATTACTCACCTCCTGATGTCTCACCTCACTAGTCATCTAGGAAGTCCAAGTTAAAGCTAAAATGGGATGCGACCTCATACTCACAGGTTGGCTGTAAGTGAAATCGAGGCTGTGAGAGGCTGTAAATACTTGGAGCCCAGTTTTTGTGGGGTCCTTTAATAGGCGCTTTCAAAAGTTAAGTGTTCTCACCTTTTGACCCAGTGACTCCACCGCACCTTGTAACAAAACTCCATCCCTGTTCTACTTACGCATCTTTAGGTTTCGAGTTCAGCCTTATAGAGTTAGAAGAGTGTCTTCTTCCCAGGCCTCCAACACCAGACCTCTCCCCACCTCACTGGAGGGTCCCCATCAGGAGCCCAGGCCATGACTGAGGGCACTTTGGCCTGGTCCTAAAGTTAAATGGCTACTGCCGTGCAGTGAAGAACGCATACTGAACAGTTCCAGGGACCTTTCTGCACCCCGTCAGCTTTGTTTCTGCACTGGACTGATACGTGTTCCTTAATTTAAAAAGTCCAAGCAGAGAATGTGCCCAGTTGAAAAGGTAAGGGTGCACAGTGTACCAGAAGCAAGTCCGAACAGTCAGGACTAAAACACTCCGTGCATTTTCCACACAGTGCTTAGTGCACTTAAGGAAAAGAATTTTACAGCATCAAAAGCCACTGCCATCTGAAAGCATGAAATGACAGACAGCCAAGATTTAGAGAAATGCACACTTGTTTCTTACTCAGTAAATACTGAGTACTACATGGTGGGGGATATAGTACAGTTTCACTAACTGTTCCACTGTCATTCCTGTGCATTTCAGACACTTTCTTCAGTACTGACAAGCTCTAACTAGTCTTAGGTTTAAGCGGATCCTCTACTGAAATAGGCCCTCTTCATCCACAGCCCATTAGACAGGAAGTTAATAATCTTTTAATTTTGAGTTAAAATATACTGAAACTTTTAGGTAACATCAAAATAACTCAAAAAGTACAAAATAACTCAGGAAGGTTCTCAAGTAATAATCATCCATTCTATTTATCCCTAATCTCATGAACTTTTCATTCTCATGCTTCTACCCACATACTTACCTAACTAGGTTGGTACATTTCCTAAATTTACCTGCGCTAGTTACATTCCATATATTTCTCAAAAAGCACAATTCATTTTCACTCAAGTAAAATGTTCTAATGCTATGGGGAAAAAAACGGCAACAACCATAAACTCTGTTTTTGTTTTATAACACAGACCTCACAAGAGGTCAGTGGCTTATTCAATACTTATTCATGGAGATCTCAAGCAAGCACACTGCAAATAAGATGTAAATAGGCTTTTGAGAACAAAAGTGCTGCATACTCAGAGAACTATGTGCAAAATATTAAAAACTTGTGAAGAGTAAAGCTGTCTGGTGGACCTGTTCAAGCATTTTCCTCCTACCATTGTCTGTATTGTTTAAACACTGAACCTGCTCCTTCTTCAAAACATTCCCAGCTGAAGACGGAAGAGAGAAGGAATGTCTACCAGAGTTGCACCCCCAGATGCATAAAAATAAAATTTCAGGGGCCGGGGATCTAGCTCAGTGGTTCCACTGCCCGCCTTGCAAGTGCAAGGTCCTGAGTTTGATGCCCGGTACCAAAAAAAAATAAAATTTCAAAGTGTTAAAAAAAAAAACTTTACTTTTAATAGGATCCTCTTTTTTTTTCTTTTACTTTTCAAGTGAGCTCTCTCTGAAGGTTTACTGAAGCTTTCTTTTCCAAGACTCCAATAACTGAAAGGTTCTCCCAAGACAGAGACTATCAGCCGAACACCTAATTCTGCTACTTCAAGCACTGGAGAAAACCTCCACCAATATATGCTATCCAACCAGCTGGCAGGAAAGGAACCTGTGACTGTCCTGCATGCATACATGAGACTGAACATGAGCCATGTTCCCAAACACTAACTACCAGCGCAGTAAATTCTACTCCCTCAGTTACTGCCAAATCCAACAGAGCTTAGTGCGTTCTCAGCTGGGTATTTACAGGATGGAAATGTGTTTCTAAGCTAAGAAATGGGAAATACATTATATCCTCTTCTTTTTTTTTTTTTTTTTTTTTTGGTACCGGGGATCCATCTCAGGACCTTGCGCTTTCAAGGCAGGAGCCAGAACCACTGAGCTAAATCCCAGGCCCTAGGAATGGGAAATACAATCAGACATGTGTACGCCCTAACCCTAACCCTAACCCAGAAATCATACTGAGCCCAGCCTGCAAGAGAAGAATTTTCAAGATCTGGAAGACACTGAAACCCAACTTGGAATTCCCTGTGGAATGGGAAGCACCAGGGAGTGGCAGAGCCTCTGGAGATCAGCCACATCTGTCCTTCTAAGCTGAGGGTACAGAGTCAGCAAGTTGACAAACAAAACACTCTGGAAAAGAAAAAACCTGACACAGCTGAACCATGCAAGTCTCCTAACTTTAAATCAGACTGCCCAGTTCTGTAAGAAAGCCCATTACTTAAAGGTGAAGCAACAAACGAACTTTAAACATACAACTGATGAGGGACAGGACGAGAGGGAGCTTACAGGAGCGTGTGGAGAGCAGGAAGGAAAAAGGCAGCAGAATGAGCAGCGCTAGAGACCTACAGAAGAGTCTCATCTGCTTAGGCACCAGACGGAGCGCTTCCACTCAAAGAGTGGAAGACAATTCCGAAAAAGTAACAGCACAAAGCCCTGGAAATACAAAATGCTGTCAACAGTCAAAAACCCTAGTACCTGTAGTTTGAAAGACTCCTCTGCAAATCATCAAAATGTCAGCAAACATTTCAACACTTCCCATAAGCACGGTTTTTAAAAGTATGTCTTTTAAAGTTACTCTCTGAAAACGTGAGAACATTTTCTCTGGGACAGGAAAGCGGTCCCTTCATGCGTGTATCAAACGCAGGGAAAGAAACGACAGGCAGAGGCAGCGGCCCGGCCGTCACAGCGAGGCCTGCCGGTGGGCAGGTACCCGACCTCGAGCCCGGGTTCTCCTCGGGGGAAGGCCGCGCGGGAAGACCCGGCGACGACACGCCCGGGGCACCTGCCGGGCTGGGCTCACGCGGCCTCCGCACCCCGGCCTGGAGTGTCGGGCCTCCCGCCGCGACTCCGCACCAGGTGCCCGGGCTGGACAGGGCTGCACGCGGCTCCCCGGGGCTGGACAGGACGCCCGAGCCCAGCCGGGCTGGACGGGGTCCCCAGGCTGCACCCAGCCGCTGCCCGGGGCCACAAGGCGCAGCCCCGCTCCTCGCCCCGTCCCGGGCGGAGTCGCGGGGCCACCGTAGCCGAAACGACTGCGGCTCAGGGTCGCCCGGGGCTCGGAGGTCACCACGGAGGGTCAGAGGTCGCCCGGGAAGGCCGCGAGGCCGCCAGGCACACCTCCGGGAAGCGGAGGCCCGGGGCGCGGGGCGCAGGCTGCGAGGTGCGGGGCGGGACAGGCCGGGCCGAGCCGCGCCCCCTCCCCGGCAGCACTCACAGGTGACGATGGGCTTGTTCTCCATGGTGTAGACCACTGGCGGCAGCGGCTCCTCAGAGGCGTCCATGGGCGTCCGGGGTCACCGGCCCGGCCCCCCGCGCCCCATGGGCACCCGAGGCCGCGCCGGGCCAGCCGTGCCCGCGCCGGAGCCGCGCCGCCGGCCCTGAGGCAGCTCCGAGCCGGCCGCCCGCCGCGCTGCTCTCCGCCGCCAGCCGCGTCCACTTCCGGTCCCGGCGCGGCCGCATGACCACTTCCGGGGCACACGGCTGAAAGGGGCGGGCCTTCGCGCCGCCTGCCCTCCAACGGGAAGGGGCGCGGCTGGAGGGGCGGAGGCCGTGCTGCGGGGCGCGGCGGTGCCGGGGCCGCGCTCCCGGAAGAACCTCGCGCGCCCGCGACGGGACGTGGGGTGGGCGCCTGCCTGCGGGGCCCTGCGGCTGCAACCCACCGTCCGGCGGTCCCCGGCCCCGGCCCGCCGGCTCCGCCCCGCGCCCCGCCCCGCCCCCAGTGCCCACCTCCCCGGCGCCCCTGCAGAGGGTCTGGCAGCGGAGGTGTCCGTGTTGGATGGAGTGCCGCAAAAAAACCCTTTAACTTTTCAGCTCTGTGAGTGTTTTGTGCAAGTAAAGCGGTTCGAGGTAACTTTTGCAAGTGAACTTTTGAAAAGAGAATGTGTGTAGTGGAGCCCTGAGTGTGCGCAGGGCCGCTGGGTCGTGTGGTGGCCTCCGGGGCCCGGGGCTGCAGAGCTGAGCTGGCCCTACTGCAGAGGCAGGTGGAACCGTGGGGAGCCGCGCTGGGGAGCCCAAGTCCCTGCAGGGCAAGTGTGGGAAGGCGCCCCATGAGGCTCGCAGGAAGTGGCTGTTAGTCTAGAATGGCGTAAAGGTCCCCAGTCCAGCAGACTACGGGAAAGACCTTGTGAACGCCATCAGCGTCCAGGACCTTCAGCCTTGATGCTAGGTTACGGACCGTGGCCGCAGGAGCCTGCAAACTTGATCTGTAAAGTCAGAGAAGTTTTTAGGTTTGGCTTGCCACATTTTTTGTCTCATACTCTTCATTTTTATTTCTGTAAACAACTCCTTAAAAATATAAACACCATTCTTACTTACCCCAAGGCTGCCAACTCCTGCCCCACAATAAGGCCTCCCCTACACTTCCCTGAAAGCTTCGATGTACTTGAGAGAGAGAGTTTGGGGTTCAAATCCTGCCAAGTTAGAGGGGCTTGGGAAAGACCCTGTACTCTCCCCGGGTACAATGGGAGCCTCCGACTGAACCCACTGGAGAGCACAGGGAGAAAGACTGCCTGAGCTGCAAACTACAGCAGAAGGAGAGGAGGGGAAGGTGACCCAGGTCACCGCAGGGCACTCTTACTGTGTGTGGCACATCCTGCGATTACTAGGCACAAGTGCAGCTCAGACTGTGGGCTCCTGTGCTCCCTACAGAAGAATCGGACAGAAGCCAGCAGCCTGGGAACTGGGCTGTCATTCTTATGCCAGAGCACAAGGGGGAATGCTGTGGGCCCAGGAACCCGAGGCTGGCCCAGAAGACAAGAGGGTAAAGCTTTGACGGCCCCTGCAGGGTGGGCAGGGACCCTGTGTCTTGATGCCGTCACTGGGAGAGGCAGAGTTCCAGTTGCTCCTGCACTCTTCTGTGTCACGCCTCTATGTGCCTCTCATTTCCACCTTTAGTCTCCACCTCAGGTTGTGATTTTCAGTATGCTAATAAAGGTAGTATCAGTTAATTTAGTGACTGCTCTAGACATGCATTGTCCCTCGTCACCTGGAATTGTTCCTTATCATCTGAGAAAGTTTCAACTTGGGTTTGGGAGCAGGACAATCACTCCCCTGCCTTCGTGGATTTGATTTTAGTGATCTTGAGGGTTTGTTTTTTGGGGTGTTTTTGGCTCTGGCTTCTTGGTGTCTCTGCTGGCAACAGTCTTTGAAGGCTGAGCTGATTTCCCATCCTGCTACCTCCTCCACTTTTGAACTCCCAGTTCTTTGATGTGTTTGTTAACCCCCGAGACAGGCTGAGGCAGGAGGACTGCCATGAGTGCGAGGCCAGCCTGGACTACATAGCAAGACAACCCTGCCTCAAAAAACAAAGTCAATCAATCTTATGACTGATTCTAAAGTCTATGTGGAAGAATAACTTAAGAGTAATCACGAAAAATTTTAAAGAAAAAAAAGTGAAAGTTTTCCCTACCAGTTGTCTAATTTTGTGGGGGACCGCCCCGTTGATTATGCCCAGAGCAGCCTGTGAGCAGTGCAGACTGCAGAGTTAGCTCCACAATTGGCTTGATTTGAGAAGTGAGTCTGACCAAAGCCTAGTGACTAGATAACATGGCAGTCAAGGTCAGAGTGACTCACACTCAAATTCCATTCCCAAAATTAAGAATGCGTTGTCTCGGGCTGGGGATTTAGCTCAGTGGTTCCACCGCCTGCCTTGAAGTCAAAAGGTCCTGAGTTCGATCCCCAGCACCAAAAAAAAAAGAAAGGCCAATTATAACTTAAGAATGCATTGTCTCTTCTCTTATGAGCCTTGCCTGTGTCAGCAACATAGCCCTGGCAGCCAGATGTAGCCCTCTCACCTTAACCTAACTATGATGTCGCCTATAAATATCAGCAGCTTTGGCTGTCCAGGGTCTTTTGCTGCTTGCTCAGCACTGGCCATCCTGGCTCCCCGCATCTGTCTCTTTGACTCTATCTCTATGTCCTTCTTCTTACCTTGTGCTGCAGCACTAAGCAGGAGATCGGAACCTGCTGTGGGGGTCTCCGATATAATTTTTTCCAGTGCTGGGGATTGAACCCAGGCCTCATGCATGTTCCTCAGGGGGAAAAATCTAAAATAAAATGAGATACCTACCTGCATTTGCCATACCTCCAATTCAATTATAGGTGGATGGGAGTTCCAAATGTGAACATCTAAACACACTGACTTTCAGAAGAAAACCTAACAGAATATTTTTATGATTTCAAGCAAGGAAAAGATTTCTAAGCAAGATACAAAACACAAAGGAAAAAATAAAGTCCTTTCCAATCACGTAAGGAATTCTGTGCATCAAAAATGCCATAAATAAAGGCAGAATCCAAGCCAGAAATGCTTATGAAATAAAGACGGAGACAGATGACACAACAGGAAGGGGGGAGAGCTGGGGCGATGTCGGGAGGGGAAGCTCAGGAAGTCCAAGCTGTGTCACCAGCCGTGGGCCTTGAGCCTCGTGTACAATGGAAATCCAAGGTGGGCCAATCCCTCAGCCACTTCTCTGTTGCTGGTGGCTGCCACCTTTGCCCACCCTCTTCTTCAGAACCCCTTAAAGGGGAAGGATCCTCCCTGAGATGTTACCAGATGGTGGCGGGTTCTTTGCTCAGTTCATACAGAAATCAAAAATTGGCAAAGTGCCACTCCCTTAACGTTAGCAGCCCTGAGCTTTGAGTGCCAGTGGCTGTCCACTCTTGCAGCATGAAAGGCCCTCCTTGCTGCATGGATTAGCAGCTACTGGCAAGCCCTGGGCACTCTTCTGACACCAGAGATGGCAGCTCCCAGCAACTTTCCATTGCTCTCCACTCATCTCTGCTGCTTGCCACCTTCACAGTTACCTGCAGTGGCCTTCAGTGCTAGCAGCTGTTAGTGTACCAGGTCAGCACCCTCTGCTTGAGATAGAAATCAGGAAGAGGCAAAAACATGCCACCTGGAAAAGGCCTGATTATGACTTATGATGTGTTATAAGGGGGAACAGTGGATAGCCTGAAGCTGTCATGGGCTTGGGGAGGTTGCTGATGCAGGAAAAAGTGGAGCTTGTGCACACACTGTCAGACATTCTGTCTGGTCCCTGCAGGGTAGTGGCTCCTCACGGATCCGACTGAAGAGGGATGAGAGTTGGAATCACACAGAGAGGCTGCAGGGTGAAGTCACCTGGGAAAGGTCTGAGTCCAAAGCCTACTGTACCCAGAGCAAAGGTCTCCTAGAGTGGCCATGGGGTGCCTTCTTCTGAGGCAGCCACAGAAGGACAGAAACCCCCCGGGGAGCACTGGGCTCTTCTTTCCTGTCTCAATTGGCCTAACCTCAGCAGTCACCAGGACAGGGTGACCAGAAGCCACAAGCAAATCCTTCCCACCCTAAGACCATTACAAGCCAGCCCTACTGCCACAGGATGCCAGCCACTGTGGTGATGGGTTTTGCCAAAGACAGAGTTTATCCCCAAGGTGGCTGGATGAGCGGAGACGGGATACTTACTCAGGTCTCAGATCCTCCTCCCTGTGGTGGGTCGGCTTCTTACCAAGCCTGCCAGGGGGTCTGACCATTGAGTTCCGCTGCCCTGGGAACTGGTTAGGAGAAAGCGACGTAGTATAAAGCAGGCCGTGGGGAAATCACACTCCAGAAGCATTTCTGGTCCTGAGTAGTGATGGGAGTGCTGGAAACGCCAAGGGCCCTTGGGAGCAGGTGTCCATAGAGGGCTGCTCCATCCCTCGGGGGAGACGTGTGAAGAGGCCCTTTCATGCATTTCCAAGGTGATCGGGCACCGTTGGCTGGCCTGGACACTTCACCTGGCCTTCCCTCCAACACTGCTGCTGGCCAGTTTCTGCCACACGAGCGCTCCTTGATGTGATGTCCTTCCGGGTACCATGTCCTCTCCCTGGTCTGCAGCTCGGTGTGTCACTCTGGGCGGGGTCCCATCCTGCTGGGGTGCGCAGTGCCCACCTCCCCCACTTCATGGTGTGGCAGACGCTGTTTGTCGCCACACTGTACAGTCTGCTTTGCACAAGAGCCACGCCCACACGCCATGGACGGACACAGGCAGCACATGCGTAAGAACGAACTGGGGACAAGAGAGCTGGGCCTGACAACTGTGCAAGTACAAAACCAAAAGGGATTTCGGAGAGAGGGAGCTCAAACTACTTCCATAGCACCAAATAGATTTGTAGAAAGAAATCATTGATCATTGTGTTCTTTTACACATTTACACAATGAGGAAAAAATTGCTGAATAAATATTCCAATTTCCTGGAAAAAAGTATTCATCTTTTCCAGAGAAAGATGCAGTCTAGGCTGTGGTGGGCTGTTCTCTGCCATGGCAGGGCCCTCTCCTCCCGGACAGTGGGCTTTGCACAGGAGGGAGCCCTTCTGATGGGGGACACTGCCCATCCTCCCTCGGTGGCTGACTCAGGCAAGGTGCCCAGGACTGGCCACCGGGTCGCAGGTGCAGATGTGCAGGGCTTCGTGTGACTCCTGTTGAGGAGTCCCCACCTCCTGACACAGGTCAGTCCCCCTGATGAGCGTTTCCACTTTACAACCTAGGGCCAGGGCTGGGGATTTAGCTCAGTGGTTCCACTGCCTGCATCGCAAGCACAAGGTCCGGAGTTTGATCCCCGGTACCAAAAAAACCAAAAACAAACAAAGAAAAAAATACAACCTAGGGCCCTGAGGGCCCAGTTTGGCACCTTGATCTGGGCCTTCCTGGTGCCAAGGAATATGTTTTGGATTTTAATCCAGAGGCCTCCAAAGCCCAGAACCCTAACCTCCCCTGCACCCTCCTGTCCCCAGAAACACGTCTGTCGGCTCTGTCACAGACGGAATGTGTTCATGAAGACGTGCAAGCCCAGGGCCTGGCGGGCCCAAAGTGGGCCGCCTCGAGCATGTGACGCCCTCTGGACAGGGGACCCTGATGGAGTTTCCTGTGCCTGACCAGTACGTGGGAGCAACTCTGCCCAGTAGGCGCTGCAAGGCCAGCACCAGCTGCAGGGAGCTGCAGAAGCGCCCAGGGCCCTGCAAGCGCATCCTCCAGGGCCACCCTGATGCCCCTGCCCCCAGTCCTGGGCTCAGCTCAGGGGACACAGCTGCTGACATGAGTGTACCCGTGTGTGCTGGACTGCACCTGTGTGTGCATGCACCTTCAGAGGCCCCTCTGGCCACAGGCAGGACCTGGGGGTGAGGAAAAGCTCCTGTCTAACAGCAAAGCCACAGTCAAGGGACATGGCCAGCTTCCTCAGGGCCGCCATAGGACCTTCAGTTTCCTGTCAAGTTCCGTGGATGGTGAACCACTTTCTCAGAGGAGCTGTTCTCTCGGCAAACCCCCTGCTTCAGTCACTCTGTCCTCCCCTCGGGGAGACACATGAAAACAAGCACAGTCTCCAAGGTCACTTTGTAATAGGGCTGTTCCTGCAGGACTCCACCTAGCTGCCCCACTTGGGGGAGGTACGCAGGTGTGCCTGGCATGTGGGCCTGTGTGTGGGCAGTGGTGGTGCGTGCATGTGTGAACGCACATGTCGACTGAGCCCAGGCCCCCAGTGCCACCCTGGAAGGAGGCAGCCCCTGAGCAGAAAGAACCCCATCATCTGGGGTCCTTCCCCAGAGAGGGGCCTGTAGTTTTCACACAATTTATTTCCTGAAGACAGACAAATCAGAACCTGGACTAGCCTTTGGTTTTAACAAAGTTTTCATTTTGTCTCCTCATAAAGCAGAATACAAATTTAATAAAATTGCTTTGACAAAAGTAGTTTTGGGCCCACACACGCCTGCTTCGGATTAAAGCCCATTTTTGGACAGTGGGTCACCCAGCACATTTTCTGTGCCAGCCGAGTTTCCATGGTTTTTGCCAGGTGTCCTCAGCTCCCTTCCAGAAGGCACTGGGCACAGGACCGAGAGCCTGGGGCAGCAGCTGCACAGCCTCAGAGAGGACAGGGCCTGGGGAGGTGGTGCCCCAAGGAAAAACAGCCCCCCACCTGGGATCATTCCCTTGGGAAAAGTCCACATAGACCAGAAATCAAACAAAAGGAGGCCAAGAGTCACTTTCTCTTGTATTGTGGACATTTCATCGCTCTCTTTCACAGCAGCATTCCTAACAAACAAGTGTGATGCCTGGAGCATCTTATCCAGGAAATATCAAATTCAGGCTCCCCGATGGCCAGGTCTGAGGAAGCGCCGAACCTCCTCGGCTGACTCCACCAGTCCTCAGGACACCGGCTACAGGGTTCCTGTCAGCTCCCACCCCAACAGAACACCTCCCTCAACTCCATAAAGCTTGTGAGTAGCAAAACTTGTAAAAATGAAGTGTACAAAAGGAAGCAGCTGTATAATATACTCGCACCCTTTATACAACGCATCCCTTCAAAACTGGCTGACAGTCAGGTATGGTAATTTCTCAGTCATAGAAAAGAACCCCGATGTCTGTCACAGGCAGGGCTCATAGTAAAGGTGTGGTTTTCCAGAGAGATGTTCCTGTACAGTCACAGTACGTGCTAGCGAGCTCTAGGATTAAGAAGCCAGCCAAGACCCCGGCCTTGAGGCAAGTCACATTTGATTGTCACAACGTACAATTCTGAGACAATAAATACGAGGAGAGCAGATGCATTTCTTCACAGGTCAAGTAACTCCAGTTTAATTAATACAATTTAGCGCATTTCAGTGTCTCATTCACAGTTCGACTTCCGTCCCAGTACTTTTGCAACAGAAAGTTAGGAAACTGAAAAATCAGAAACGAAAGCTCCAGGTGACCTCACTAATGTGAAGATTGCAGTTTTGCAACGACGCAGCCGCCGGGGCAGAGATGCTGCTGTGTGGCCTGGGCGGACGGGGCCAGCATCCACAGTGACTTCCTGGGCTCCTGAAAGCACTCGTGTCCATTCTTTCCGGAACAGTCTGTCAGTAAGCCACATTTCCCCTGAATTGACAAGCAGCGGGTGTTTGAAATAAAATTTAACTCACGGGTCCACCCCAGGCAATCAAGCAGATCACAGTGTGACACTGTACACCAAATTGTCCCTGCGTTTTTACATCCTGGCCCCAATATGAGAGAATCAGGAGCTCGAAGGTCAGCACCTGCCTGACAGCCCCACAGCAGGGCACTGTGACACATCCAGAGCCCTGGCCAGTGGGTCACCCACCCCCCATTCCCCCAGCACCAAGACACTACAGGCAGCTTGTCTTCGGTTTGGGGCCGGCCACTAGAGAAAGGGCCAGGGACATGCTGTTTCTGGAAGAAAGGCAGGCATTTCTGGCTTGTGGGTTTGCCCTGAGCACAGCTATGCTATGGAGGGCCAGAAGCTGCACCACCCTGCTGGGCACTGCGAGTCGCATGCTGAGGCCCGAATGGGGCTCGCTGGGGGCGGGAGACAGGCAGCATGGGTGTGCACGGGGTCAGGCAATCTAAGCGGAGTCGGCAGGCAGAAGAGCTTATATTGGGCCTGTCCTGGAAGTGTCGGGGCAGACACAAAGCCACATGCAGAGAGCCACTCCTTCCTCTCCCAGACCAGATGGGTCCTCAGGATGCTTGTGCACAGCCTCGTGATAGCGGAGGACTGCACGTGAATGAGGTGCGAGGCTGGGTCACCGTCTTTCCAAGTGACACCAGCTCTCAGGGACACCTTGACCAGCTACACAGAGGGGACATTCTCACGTCATGGCGCACGGCGGGGAGCAGGAGACGAGGTGGGTTCGGACTGGCCAGAGACAACGCCTGCATTACTTTTTTACAAGGACCTGCTGTTCACTTTGCGCTGTGTGGTGTTTCGTGGCTTCTATACACAGCTCAGCTCTTCAGCCGGACTCTGTGCCCAAGGCAGGGACCTTAGTACCTCTCGAGGGCTGTGTGTTTGGTTTGGTGTCACCACGTGCCGGACAGCAGAGTGCTTTGCTTCCTGAAGTAGCCACTTCAGACCCTCCTCGAGGCCTTAGCTTAGAGAGCCCCTGGTGTGGCAAGCGCCTTTCTCTGACCACTCAGTTCTCTCCCCAGATTCCTGCCTGCCTCCTGTGGGGTGACCCCGAGAGAAGCACAGGTCCCTAGATGCTGGGAGCTCCGAGAAGGCACTGGGAAATGCTGTACACATTTTGAAGGCCTCTGGAACTGCCAGGAAGGCCGACAGAACCACCGCCGGGCCCCAGCTCCACACAGGGCCAGTGGAGTCTGGGGCGGGGAACGGCCAGGACGCAGCATGGGTAGCTGATGATGACAACAGATGAGCCCTCAGAGAGAGGGCGGTGGGTGACCCTGAGGCACCTGGCTCGGGCCTGCACCAGAAGACACAGCACGGTAGCCCATGCCATCTTGTCCCAGGTGGGCATCCACGGGCAGAGCCCAGGTCCTGGGGTCCTGGGAGCCTCCTGGGAGCCCCCAGACTACCCCACAGCTTGGCCCAGGCCTTAGCCCCCATGGTGGCTAGCACGGATGTCAGAGGGTGTCAAGATGCTTCACCCCAATACTCTGCCTGAATCCAGCAGGACTCCAGCAACATGTGAGGTTCGGACTAGGGTAAAGGAAAAGAGAAAGCACTATTCTGACACACAGGAATTTAATTTAAAAATCAAGGGAGTGCTCCTCCCTCTTCCTTCAAAAGCAGATGAAAGCAAAACCCCTTCACAAAAAAAAAAAAAAGCCCAAACATTCACAGCGTGATTTTTATTGCTCTCGGAAGGCTTGGTGTTGCGGTGCACGCGGAGCCAGAAGGGGTCTCGGGGTGAAGCCTGCGCCCGATCTTCAGGGCGGCACTTACCCCTTGAGTGTCGGCTGGGGAGGGCCTCTTGGGAAGCCAGAGCCGTGAACCACGCAGCGGTGGAGCCGGGCGTGCACATCCGGCCTGCACTGCTACCCGCGCCTGGTGTTAGCGACTCAGTGACCGCCCGAGCCCGAGCACACGGAAGACGAGAACAGTGCATCGGGGAAGAAAAAGAAGGGCAACTCCGGGTGGCTCAGCAGCCAGGGCCTACGGGGGCCACACTCTGAGGAGGGAGAGGTCGAGTGCGTTCCTTGGCAACGCCTTCACCCTCAGCAGGCACCGTGCTCTGCCACTGCCCTCGGGAACAGCCGGACTGGGACCGGGACGGTCCATGCTGCTCCCTTCACACAGGCGGGAGCGCTGTGGTGACTCCCACACAGAGCCAGGCCCCTCCCTCACCCCCAAGCGCCCAAGATCCATGCAGAATCGACTCCTCGATTTCCTTTCTAATCTTCGTGCCTCTCCTCTGGCTTCTCCCTCGCAGGCTCGATCTGCCGACATTCAGACTGCTGGTCCTACATCCCAGAGCAGCCCAATTCTCCCCTGCTGAGAAAGGTGGAGGGAGTGTCACTAAGGAGACTGCGGAAGTTCGGGACGAAGCCCAGTGCAGGTGGCCAGCAGCAGCACGATGCCAGAGCGGGCTGAGGGGGAGAGACCTGGCCACTGCTCCAGGTGGCCCAGCAGCCCCCGGCTGCCAGGCTGGGCTCATGATGCCGGAAGAAACATCTTCCCGGAGGGACAAGGGACCTCGGTGAGGACAGAGTGTGGGCGGAGACACCCTGTCCTCTGCAGGGACACTCGGGCTGTCACAGGGGTGAGGAGCAGGCCTCACCTGCCTGGACGGGGCAGCCCTTCCTGAGGATGCACTGCGCCCCACGGAGGGCGAGAGAGGAAGGGAAGCCTCTGCTTCCTGTTCCCCTCAGGAAGTGGTGAGCCGTCCTCAAACCAACGAGTAAAAGCAAAATCTCCAGGAGCCAATAGGCTCGGCGCTGATGGTCTCAACTCAAGAAAGGGCCTGCTGGTCCCGCTGGCCACGACCTTTCTGTGCCTGGCCCCAGCCCGATGGCCACAAAGTGGAGGAGAGGGACAGGGGAGCTTCAGGAGAAGGAAGGCCTCCTCGTGGCACCGAGCTCTCCACGGTCCATTCACTTTACGAAGAGATGCAAAATGTCTACACACAGTTAAACAGGAAGTGGGGCAGGCGGGGCTGCAGAAAACGAATGGGCGCTCGGTTCTGCCAGCGACAGAGGGACATTCAGTGTGCTTATCTCTAGGACCCTCTCCGGCCCCTCCCAGGGTCTAGAAGTGAAGGTGCCAAGCAGGGAAGGACAGCAGCTCTCTGGGGGACTGGGAGCCGCTGACCACCCCCAGGGGACAGCGGGAGATTCACGGGGAGCCAGTGTTGAGGGGCGCAGGGGAAAAGCTGAGGGACCATGTTACGTTCCTGAAACACCGAGAAAACCAAAACCCTCCATCTAGGTTTAAGAAGAGAAAGCAGCCCAAGGCCCCCTTGGAAGCGGCGCTGTGCAGAGATGGCCACACCCTGCTTGGAGCCTTGGTCCCCAGCCCGGGCCACCGGCCCTCTGGCGCCTTTGTCCATGGCATGCAGGTGGGCGGGCCAGCGGGCGGGGACCCTGCCGGTGCTGTCTTCATTGGGCAGGCTTCTCAGTTCTTTGCTCTTGGCTCAAGTTTTATTGGTTAATGTTAGTCACCAATTAATAAGAAAAATAGTTTCTAAGTGTCTCTTTCTCCTCGCTCTGTGTGTCGCTCTGTTTTTAATTGAGTTAATTTGATACCACATCAGGTTCTGTGCATTCAGTCACTGCCATCAATCACTCCTTTTTCTTAAATTCCTGGTTTCCGTAGCTGGAGCCTTTTTCTATTTCAGTCATCCCTATCAGTCTGCGGACTCCGAAGGATGCTTTAAAGACAGGAGAGAGAGAAGACGTTAGCCCACTGCTTGGCCACAGGCTGTACCAGGCATGAGGTCTGGCATCCTCTGCCTCGCCCCTTCCCTCAGGGCCCGGTGGGTCAGTCCCGAGGGTCCTGAGGCGGCTGACAGGGGCTGGGGCCATTTCCCCACCAGCCGGGTGGATGCAGGGACATGTGGCGTCCCGTGCCATCCAGTCTCCTGTGCACGAGGGCATCAGAGGTGGTGACAGAGTGGCGAGACGGATGAGCAGGACACAGTCCTGTCCTCTGTGGCCTCTGGTCGCCTCTCACACACACTGCTGAGTAAGGCGCAAGCCTGTCGGGCCGAGGCCTGGGAGTTAGCGAGGATCCTCGCTGGCAGGGACCATCTGCAGCGGCTCACGTGTGGTGGGTGCTGTTCACTCAGCACAGGTGATCGTGTGGGTTCGGGAGGGGCCTGGCCTTGTGCTCTGGGCCGGGCACACAGGGGACAGCACTAAGGGCCACAGCCCAACCTTCTGAGGGCACAAAAACAACGCAGTGACCAGGACCCTGTTCACACCGTCCTCCCCAGGGGCCGGCAGCCTGGTGTAGGCCGACGACATGGCCCGCGATCTTGACCGCCCTGTGGTCTGTGGTCGGGACGACAGCCCCTAGTCCCTGCTCACTAGCCACTGCCATTTGGTCCCAGGCAGCGGGGTCCCCAACTTCGCACCATGAGCACTTGTGCCCCTTACCTGCACCCACAAACCCCAGGAATGTGAGGATCAGCAGCAGGGACCCACTGGCAAAGACGCCCAGGACGAAGCTGAAGAGGGGCGAGAGGAGAAAGGTGGCCCAGCACAGGAAGTTCAGCAGGGTCCACGGCCTCCGGGGAGGCTTGATCTGCTCCCCGGGGAAGATGCCCTTCTGCTTGTACATTTCCTGCAGTGCGTCCTGTGGCAGGGGAAAGCAGAAAGGCATGGTCTCTGCGGGGGTACACTGACAACAGTGGAAAAGGACTCGACCCAAAACAGGGATGGTGGGAAGCTCGGGCCTGGCGCGGGCCTGGCGGGTACAGCCACACCACTGGTCACATCCTGCCATTTCTGTCAGGCTTGGGTGCTGGGTCCCCAGTTCTGCACCCCAACCATCAGGGCAGCCAGCACCCTGGCTGAGAGCTTCCCTTGGGGCAAGAGGACAATCAGCACAGAGAGCTTGGCTGGAAATCCTGCAGGTGCAGTGTGACAGCTCCCTCCAGCATCACACACGTTGACTAATGAGACTTGAACGAGGAGATGCAGGTGTTAGGCTGCCAGCATTCGGCTGCTGGCAGAGGAGGGTGCAGTGGCAGCAGATGCAGTGAGACTTTAAAACAGGTCTGACTACACGTGTGTGATCAGAAAGGCAGCGTGTTGCTCCTGATGGCCCAGGGAGCAGGAAGCTGTATGTTTTCATTTTCCCTACTTTATTTTCTGTATTTAATTCTCTAACTTGGGTTTGTAGTATACACTATGGGGCAGGAGCTCATTGCTGGATGTCACAAGGGCCTTGTGAGCCAGGAGAGGCTGCTGTGGGCGTCACACGGCCCAGTTCTTGTTAGTGGTGGAGAGCAACCCATACATGCACCGACAGGAAATGAGTAACCAGTGGGGCCATGGTGTCAAAGGCGTGGGCCAGACCTATCCCACTGTGCCCAGACTGGAGGACAGCAGTGACTAAATCAGGAGGGTGCCACCTGCAGCACGGTCCATTGGGTGCAGATTTAAAATTGAGGCCGTGAAAACAACTAAGATGTATTCTTACATATTTCTATATTGCAGGAAGACATAGGACATACTGTAAAGAAAACACCCACATGAGTCAGTTGTGTCGAATCTGTCAGTTGCTGCACTGGCGTCTGCTTATTTATTCTGTGCAGCAGAAGGTGGATGTCTACACTGTCACTGACAGTAACTGCACACACTAATGGTAATGGTGCGGCGGGGGTCTCAGTACACGTAGCCATGTGTCACATCAGATCAGGTACCTGTGTGTCCAGTGCCCTTCACGTTTATCATTTCTTTTGCTTGGTAACATTCGAAATTCTCACTACTAGCTATCCTGAAGTATACAGTTAACTGTTGTCTGCCAGAGTCCCCAGCCCTAATCCTGCTGTGCTTCAGAAGTGAGAAGTTATTGTTTCTTTTCCCTACCTGTGCCCTGAGCCTGTTACTCCCTCTCCCTCCCTCGCCCTTCGCCCTCAGGTAGCCGCTGTTCTACTCCCTGCTTCTAGGACATGCATTTTTTTTTTTTTTTCGGTACCGGGGATCCAACTCAGGACCTTGCACTTATGAGGCAGGCACTGGAAACACTGAGCTAAATCCCCGGCCTAGGACATGGATTTTTGTTTGCTTACATCGGAGTGAGAACTTGGAGTGTTTGTCTTTCTGTGCCTGACTTATTTCACTTAACATCTTGTCCTCCAGCTCTATTGATGTTGCTCCAAATGACACAATTTTATTTTTTTACTGGCAAAATAGAGTTACACTGTTACTGTCACCTGTTGAGGAACACCTAGGTCACAGTTTCCACATGCTGATTGCCTTTCCTTTGGATGCATTCCCAGGAGAGGGGTAGAGAGGCATGGCTTGGACAGACGGCAGTTCCCTTTCCGTGTGTGCATGTGTGTGTGTGTGCGCGCGCGAGCGCGCGCGTGCCTTGGCATGCCAAACACCTGTCCAGCTCCCCACCCAGCGCTGACTCCAGGCTCTTCTGCAGCCCTACATCATTTTCACAATGAACAGTGCGGGCGAGCCCCTTCCTCTGCACACTCATCAGTGTTTTTCTTCTTGACAACAGCCATTCTAAACGAGAGAGGTGATCTTGTGATTTCATTTGCATTTCTCCAATGATTAGTGATACTGAGCATTTTTTTCATATGCTCATTGGCCATGTGCAAATCATGACTCGAAAATGTCTATTCAGAGCATGTGCCCCATTGTAAACTGGATTGTTTGGACTTTGCCATTAAGTTGAGCTCCTCGTTACCTGGATATTAACCGCTTGGCAGGGGAACATTCTGTAAACACTTTCTCCCATCTCGTGGGTGTCTCTTCACTCCGGGCTGTTTCCTTTGCTGTGCAGAAGATCTGAAATTTGATCTAATAACGTTTTTGATTTTTGCTTTTATTTCCTGCACTTGCATAGTCAGATCTCACAGTCTTCACCAAAAACGTCTTCCGATTTTCCTGTAACAATGTCATCATTTCAGGCCTTCCATTTAGGTCTTTGAGCTCTCTACGTGAGCTGTGCGCACGGTAAGGGTCCAGTTTTACTCTTCTGTACCCTATATCCAGCTTGCCAGCATTACTGAAGGCTGTCTTGTCTCGGGGCCATATTCCTGATACTTTCGTTACCAACCAGTTGGCTGAAAATTTGTGGACTTATTCCTGGATTCTCTGTTGTTTCCTTGGTCTGTGTGTCAGTTTTACAGCAGTACCATGCTGTCCTAGTCATAGGCTCTGTGGTGTGTTTTGCAGTGAGGTATTATGATGCCTCCAGCCTTGTTCTTCCTGCTCAGGATTGCTTCGGCTCTTTGAGGTCTTTTGTGGGCCCATAAGCATTTTAATTCTTCCAGTCCATGAGCATGGAATGTCTTTGCTTTGTGTGTGTGTTCAATTTCTTTCATCAATGTTCTGTAGTTTTCATTGTGGATGTTTTCATCTCCTTGGTTAAGTTTTTGGGGGTTTTTTTGGTTTTTTAAAAAATTATTTTTATTTTTGGTACCAGGGATCAAACTCAGGTCCTTGCGCTTGCGAGGCAGGCGGCGGCACCACTGAGCTGAATCCCCGGCCCTCCTTAGTTAAGTTTTCATCTCTTTGGTTAAGTTTGCTCCTGGGCTGGTCTTTGATTTTCTTTGTGGTGTAGCTATGATAAGCACCGTTTTCTTGATTTCCTGTTCAGGTAGTTCATTATTGGTGTGTAGAAACACTACTGACTTCTGTACCCTGCAAGTGAATTTCTCTGATCTTCTCTCTGTTTAGGGGTAGAGTTTCTAGTTTTTCTGTACGTGAGATGATGTTTGCAAACAGGGGCAGTGTGACTTCCTCTCTTCCGGTTTGGAAGTCCTCTGTTTCCTTCTCCTGTCCAGTTGCTCCAGCTAAGCCTCCAGTGCTGTGTCAAGTAGGGGTGGGAAAAGCAGCATCCTTTCTTGTTCCAGATCTTGGGGGAACACTTTCATTTCCCCCATTCAGTATGATGCTGAGCTGTGTCACAATGGCTTTAATTGAAGTCCCTTCCATACCGACTTTATCATAAAGGGACATAGAAGGAGGTCATATATTTTATCCAAGTTTCCAAATACATGGAATCAAGTCATATGAGCCCTATATTGTCTTTCTGCTAATGATAACACTTTTTAAAATTAATACATCTTGTCCAAAGTTTCCTATTTTACTATTCTTAGAGAAAATGCTTTTGGTGCAGCGGGTTTGCTTTTCTGTGCTTTAGTTGGTTTAAACAGCTTCCACCACTTGGTGGGCACAGGGTGTATACCTGTGTCCCACCCACTTGGGCTGAGCTGGGGGAGTCCCAGGAGCCCAGAGGTCCAGCGGGCGGCATAGTGAGGCTACACTGGGCTTGCTCTGCTATGCATGCATGTGTGCACACCGTAGGTGTGTGTGGGTGTGTGTCGGCTAAGAGGATCAATCCGATTTGCAGCTGTGGGAGAGAACTGACGGGTGGACTGGATGCGCACACCACAGCTGCTCAAGGGCGCTCCTCCGGACAGCATCTCCCCCGCCCACCCGCTCCCTCCCTCCTCTTCCTCTTCTCCTCCTGTCCTCTGTGTCCTCGCCTACTCCAGCCCTTCAGTCTCTGCCTGACCCTCCTGTCCCTGTCCGCTGTCTTCCACGTCCCTACCGGAAGCCTGATCTCCCACTTGCAAGCTGCCTCCCTGCTCAGCCCAGACAGGGCTTGGGTCCTCAAACATCCCGCAGGTGGTGAGGTGCTCGATTCAGCTGAGTGCTGGTGTCGAAGGCCTGTCCTAGCCTCCTGCTCACATCCATGCTTCGGTCCGCACAGATGTGAACCCCGAGCCCCCGAGGACGGGTGGCAGCTGAGTCACACACACGCCAGATGCTCTGCAACCCAGGAGGAGGCTCAGCCTTCCCAAGGGTCACAGTCCAGGAGGGTCCGGCTCCATGTGGGCCTTTGCATCCACCTTCCTGTCGAGCAAGGACACAGCCTCTTCTTCTGTTTCCAGAGAGGCATTAAAACCCTGACTTTATGGGGACCAGTGAACGCCCCACCAGTCCCTCACCAGGTGTTGGGTTCCAGTTTCTTTCTTTGGTTCCCATAGGCTTGTCTTATTCTTTTGAGAGCTCACTGGTGCCTCTTAAAGGGTCTTTGTTATACGCAGCAAGGACTTTCTGGTCATCTGGTAGCAACCGTGTGAAAACGGAAGCCCACGTCTCATGGCTGTCAGTGTAAAATGGTCTGGAAGTAGGTGGGGAGCAGGCGTGGCTGAGTAAGAATGTCCAGCACTTTCTGCATCAGACCCATGGCACCAGCATCTGCCCCACACCAGGCGATGTCTGCTACACACCTAGCGTTTCTGTCCATAACCAAGACACAATGAGTGCACTATGTCACCCTCACACTTTGCCCCAACGTTAATTTCTCCAACGGGAAGAAAAAGGGAAGAGAAGGGGAGGAGGATCAGAAGTGCTCCGTGTCTATCCAGGAGACCCGTGCGCTCCCCCCACCAGCCTGGGCGGGGCGGGGACCCAGGCGCTGCCACCGTTACCTTCTCCTGGTACAGCTTGTGGAGCCACTGTGCTGCCCCCTGCTCGTCCTTCGGGATCTCCTCCAGAGGGAACCGCCTGTGCACAGAGAGCCAGAGCGAGGTGAGTCTGCAGGCTGCGGGGTGAGGGGACAGGCACCCAGGGCCACGGGCTCTGCTCTGGCCTCACTCTCTGCTTCTACCGCAGGCAAGGGCCGTGGCGACTGCCCCCCCAGCGCTCCCTCCCAGCACCCTGGAGCCCAGCGGGCACTGCCAAGGCCCCGAGGGAGGCCTGAGAGTCGCCTCCACCTCTGGGAAGAAGTGTTTGGTGGCAGGGAAGCAGGCGACTGCCAGGCGACCCTCGTCAAACGCCGCAGCTCCCAGTTCGCAAGCCGGGCCTGAAGGAGTGGGAGGTGCAAGGCTCTGGTGGAGGGCACGGGAAAGCCTGGGCAGCACTTCCCAATGTGGGGACAGCAGCGGGTGTCACCCAGGAGGGGAGCAGGGTGGCCGTGGGGCTCAGAACCACCTCCCCAGGCCTCAGGTGTGGCGGGTGTGGCTTCTGCCCACCCTGCCCAGCCTCCCTCTCCTCCTGGTGCACTTGGAACTCACAGGTCCCTGCTCCCAGCGAGCTCTGTGGCCCCTAGACTGTGCAAGGGTCTGAACGGCTAGTGCTCCTCGGCTCCACAGCCTAGACAGTGCTATGGCTGTGCAGAATCATCGCTATGGAAGAGCAGCCCAGGGCCGCCTGTAGGGACAGCACAGACAGCCATCTGGCTCACAGTGGACTTTTATGAGGGACAAAGAAGTCTCTGTATTGTAGGCTTAAGAACAAAACAAAAAGCAAAAGGCCCGGGAGAAGCAGCCTTTCCACGGGCAGTGGCAGTACCAAAGACGCCCAGGAGGGGGAGCCAGTGCACGTGGAAGCTGGGATGAGGCAGGCGGTGGCCCTGCAGTGGCACCATAGCTTTCGCTTCCATGCTGAACCTCGGGTCCCTGCTCTCTGAGTTGGGCTGCAAAGCTCAGGCCTGCACTACTGCTGTTCCCTCACGTGTGTGGTAAACCGCATGCATAAGCCTCATGGAAACACACTGACATGTACATGCAGTATAGCCCACACCCCCACACATCCCACACACCTCATATACACCACACACACGTGCTGCACAAGACGCACCCACACACATTGTATACCACAAGCACATTGCATGCGCACCGCACACAACACATGCACACAGGTCTAATGCATACACACATGCGATATGTATAAAGCAAAAATTTTAAAGGCCCAGAAAGCGCACACAGGAGTTCCGCTGGCTCTGCCCTCACTGGCTTGCCCTGAGCACCCCCCAAAGCCTCACGAGCTCAGAGGTGGGACCTCTGGCAGGGGACTGGATCAGGGGGCTCAAAGCAGACTTGTTCGAGGCAGGGCCTGGTCAGAAGAGGTGGCCCCGGGGGCGTGGCCTGGAAGGGTTCATCCCCTCCTCGGCTCCTGCCTTCTCTCTCTGCTTCCTGTCCGCCATGAGGTGAGCAGCTCTCCTCTGCCAGGGCCCTGTGCCAGGCTGCCTGCCTTGGAGTCAGCTGACCATGGACTGAAACCTCTATACAGTGTGAGCCAAAATAATCCTCTCCTCCTTGGAGTTGTGGGCATCGTTGGGTATTGTGTCTCAGTGAGGAGAAAAGTGACTAAAACATGGGGTAACTCAGGCCACCTTGGGCAGCTGTCAGAAGTCTGAGCTGCTTCCTACTCGGGGACGAGAGCCAGATCTGAAGATGAGCAGCACTGGCCACAGCGGGGTGGACACCCACTCAGTGCTGCAGCTGGTGCTACAGTCTGGATTTCAAATGGCTCCAGGGACAGCGGACTTGACAAGAGGGCTGGTCCAAAGGGCCACTGGAGAGGGCGGAGCCTAGTGGAGGACTCGGGTCCCTGCCCAGGCCTGCGGAGGGCATCCTGTGCCCCAGCCCTTTGCTCTCCTGCTTCCTCGCTGACGAGGTGGGCAGTTTTCCTCTGCCACATGCCCTGCCGTGGTGTGCACCTCCCTGCAGGCCTGGGGCACTGGCCCAGGGTGTGCTCATGGACCAAAAGCTCCAAATCAGTGAGTCAAATCAAACCTTTCTCTCCTAAGTCCACTGTCTCAGACACTTGTCACAGGGATGGCAAGGCCAGCCTCAGCCAGAGATATGGAGAGGTCAGGGAGAGGCCTGAGCTTGCTCCCTGCTGGCCCCAGGTTGGAACGGGGAACCTGTGCCCACAGATTGCAGCAGGGACACTGCTGCTTGCTCACTGTCTACCCTGGCAGAGTCATCCCTGGGGCTTCTACAGCGGGGTGGCAGCCAGGCATGGCTTTTTGTAAACTTGCTCGGGCTTGAGCTCCATAGACTATAGCACAGGGCGCTGGTGCCCCTCCCACAGGTGAACTGAGCAGGTGAACCCGAGTCCTGGGGTCAGTGGCCTCATGGGAACCGAGAGTGTGGCAGCTCCACAAACTCCATTCCTGCAGCCTGGTGTGGAACAACACGAGCCAGCATGCCACCCCCATGGCACCTGAGTAGCGCCTTCCCCGGCCACTGTGTCCTTCCGCTGCCGAGGCCCTCCCCAGACTGGACAGGCCAGGGAGGGGCGGGAGGCTTACCCAGGGCACCCAGCATGGGCTTCCCAGGAGAGAGGGGAGGCAGCCCACGCTGGTGGGGGACAGCTGGGGACACTGAGGCCCTCGGCTGCTCCCCAGGCCCACGTCCTCCTGGTGGCCTGGCTGCTGTCTGGGGCCCATCCCTCCGGGCTCTGTGCTGCACGGACAGCGGCTAGGGGAGCAGTGCTCACCTCACACACAGGTCCGCCTCATATTTCTTCCCATAGAGGATCCCCAGCAGAGAAGGGTTCTTGTTTCCTCGGAAATTCAGGGTCACATCATAGATGGCCGCCACTGTAGGGAAGAGAAACCAGGCGGATGAGCAGTCTCCTCCACAGTCCGTCCTGTCCCTGCTCTCACCGATGGCCTCGGCACTCGGTGGGCGTCCCCGTCTGCTGTGTGCATGCGAGTCCACTCTCCCACTGTTCTCCTGTCCTCTGCCAGCTGCCCCTTTCTTTTGGCTCCTTTCAGATGAATAACATATATTTGTTACCACGTTTCCCTCAATAAAGTTTTCTATTATGTATTTTTTAAAAATTGTTGCAATAAAAGACACAGGAATCCTCAAAACCCTCCCCTTGCTTCAAACACTCTTCTGCCATCGTCCCGCCCGCTTTCTGCAGCAGCTCTGGAGTCCTCTTTCCTGCCTGTCTTTACGAGCTGTGACCAAAAATACAGTGAATGCTGCTGCCGAGCGCCATCCAACCAAAAGGCAGGCTTGGCTTTTAAAACCATGACGCTGTGTCCTCATCCACCTCGTCCACGGGATCTGGCACTGTGCGACTTCCGGCTCTTCCCCAGAGTCAAGACGACCATGACAGGGAAAGGTTTTGAATCCATTCAGGGCATCGAGGCCAGGACAGCGCAGCTAAAGGGACTCGGGAGAGAGGGCTCCAGAGCCGCTGCAGGAAGGGGCGAGGATGTGGGATGAGTGTGTGTGTGGAGTAAGAAGGAGGATTCTAAGGAGGATTCATGGCGATGTGTTTTTCACTACAATGTATTTTTAAAATGTAAACATTCACTGTATGCTTCAATCACCCCTTGCATATATTGTATTACTACAATTACTTCTCACTAGCACTTTGTCATCTCGAAATCTGTTCCTTCCACTGGGGTCACTCCAACTCCCCCACTCTCCCTGCGTGCTGTGCTGACCTCATCTCACACACCACTGACACGGATATTTTAAGGGGTCACGTTTGATTTCTCATGGCACACAGGAGCCTGGAAGATGGTGGTGGCCCGTGCCCCTACCTGTCCCCTGCAGGCACTGGACTGTGGTGGTGAAGCCCTTGGTCCGCGGCAGCAGGTGGTACTTGAGAGGCGGCAGCCCCTTGGAGGCGGCCACCTCCATGCTGACACGGTGCTTGGTCTCTGTGAAGCGCGTCCCTTCACAGTACAGGAGGAACTGGGGGGACATGGGGACCTAGGGTCACGCCGGGGCCAAAGGGCGAGAACCAGAGCTCCAGCGGGAGGGCTCACGTGCTGCCCGGAGCACCACGCAGGGACGAGGCATGTGGCAGGATCTTTAGTGCGTTTTACTTTAGGGCTGAAATCTGCATCAGACACACAAAGTCACACCCAGCACTGCTTTCTGGAAAGAGGTGAACTTGATGGTGGCTCGGGCTGTGACTCTGACCACAGAGGGACAGCAGGGCCAGTCTGTCCAGTCCCCACAGCACGGGGGTGGAAACGTGAGCTAGGAGCAAGGGCCTCAAGAGCCGACCAGGACACAGCCAGGCAGGTGGCCGTGGGGACAGGGACACAGTGTCTGTGAGCTCAGGGCCCGCCCAAGTGACTCACTCACCCACATGTACTCGGGGTAGTCGGCCAGGCGCTTCAGCCCCTTGATGACCGTGTCTCGGTCCTCCTCCCACTTCCGCTTGCAGAACACGATCTCCATGAAGTACCACGTCCAGCCGATGAGGGGCACGTAGAGCAGCTCCTTCTTGGCCAGGACTTTGGAGCTCTGGAGGGTGGAGGAGGAGCCGGCGTGCACCTCAGAGGCAGGGGAATGGGGTGCGGAGGGCCTGGGGACGGGGGAGGCCACCCCAAGCCAGTCTGAGCAGCCGCCCACCACCCAGCCCAAGGAACCGGGCTCGGACGTCTCTGAGGAAGGAGCCCAGCGTCCTGGGTCCACCGCTGCTCGCTTACCCCCAGCACGCCGAACCGCTCGCAAATGGTCCACCCGCACAGGAAGTCGATCTCAAAGTTGTGGTTGAGGATGATGACCACGTGCTCCTTCCCAAAGTGGCTCATGTCGGCCGGGTTGGTGAAGAGCGTGCACTCGGTGCAGGACCACCACTCCAGCAGCATCACCAACTCTGCAGGCAGGGGCAAGGGCGTCAGCCTGGGCACCGCACCTCCCAGACCCCAGGCTCCAGGGGCGCCGGGGGGGCCGTGGCAACAGGTACGGGGTTCTCTGCTCACAATGAGTTTCAGGGGCTCACAGCTAATGAATTTCCCGGACGCCCTTGGTAAGGGACGGAAGGGGAGGGCCCTCGCCGCCCCTAGGGTGACTGCTGTCCCACAGGTGCTGTGCCCAAGGGCAGGTCACTTGGCTACCAACAGCGGCAGCCTATGTGGGCAGACAGGAGTGAGTCCCTGTGACCCCGAGCTTAGGCTGGAAAAGCTGGGAAGTCATGTCCCCGAACCTTGGGGGACGCTTCTTCTGACTCTTGCTTGGGTGTTACATTCTGGTGCAAAAGTTTTACAGATTTAGACCAATGAGCAACGTGAGTCCTGCTTAGCCCCAGGGCTGGCCTGCTGGAGGGACTTCCCTGCTGCCCACTGCTTGCATAGGCAGAGGGCCATGGGTGCCAGGCAGCCCATGTGCTGCGACCCACCCTCACACCCTGGGGCTGCAGGCGCCGGCACCTGGGTGCCACCTGTGCTGAGAGCTGTGTCCATTGCTGTCCTGCCAGGAGCCCACAGGCCTGTGCCTGCTTCAGGGCAGATCGGGGATGCACACTGCCTGTCCAGGCCACAGGGGTGCACACAGCTTCTCCATGAGAATCTTTGGTCTGCAGAGTTCCAGGGCGAGAGGCCATGTGTCTCTGCCCAGCAAGGGTCCAAATGTGCCCAAGTCCCTTTCAGGGGGAGCTGCTGTTCGGTCCACACTGGGCAGGGGCCGTGCGTGCCGCCAGCTCCAGCACCCTGTGACTGCAGCCGTCGGAGAAGGGCGACCTCCCAGGATGGGACAGAACCGTCACGAGGCAGCCCCGTGCTTCTGGTGCTGGATGCCACCCCAGCCTTCCCCAAGGTCACTGCCGCCAGTCCTCAGCCGAGAGCCCCCTGGGGACAAGGCCAGGACTGCTGATGGCTCCCAGAGGTCAGCAGCAAGCGTGGGCATGGCGGTGGGGGTGGAGCCATGGCGCCTCCTGCCGCCTGGTGATGTGGTTGTCCTCTTGAAGGGACACTGTGGTGCGGCCACTTTGGGAAAGTCGGTGGCAAACTCCCGTCACGCACGGCCCAGCACGTCCATGCCCAGGAGAGGGGAACCCAGATGTGCTCAAACCAAAACCTGCGCCCACACGCACAACGGCCAAAGGTAGGGACAGCCTTGCTGACAGCCGGGCAGACAGTTCACGTCCCCAGAAGGGGTGACATGTGGGACACGCCGCCCCAGGAAGCACCCAAGGACACGGTGCCCAGGGACAGGAGGCCACAGGCTGCAGAAGGCCCTCCACGCGTCCAGAGGCTGGTGGCCGCTGGGCTGGGCCAGGCGGGCTGGGGGTGGCTGCCAGCTGAGGGAGCTGCTCCTGGGGCCACAGCTCCCACAGGCTGAGTGCGGGGTGACTCCCCCTGCCCCGCTCTGAGTGGGGAAGCAACTCCACCAGGCTCTGAGCACAGTGCGGCTGCAGCAAGGTGCCGCTGTGCCTGATCCGGGCTGTCGCTTTGCAGGGGACCCCGAGGCATGGATCGAGGCTGGTCCCGGGTCCAGCGAGCTCCCGTTCAGCTGGAGGACAGTCCCGGGCCTGCTCTGAGAGGACGCCCATGCAGGCACGGCCGAGACCGCCCTTTGTAAGGCTGCCTGTCAAGCACACGGTGCAGTTTAGCCCGGTGGGCTCCGCCGTCATGGACGTGATTGTTTAGATTCCCCTGTGGCCCAGACTCTTTGGATGCCATTCTTTCTTGAAATGTAGACCCTACTTTGGTGTTTTTTGTTTTTACTCAAGTCTATTCTGTTTCTTTTGGTTTTTCGAGACAGGATCTTGCTATGTATTACCAGTTCACCTTGAATTTGTGGTGATCCTCCTGCCCCAGCCTCCCGAGTGCTGGGATTACAGCTGTGCACCACCACGCCTAGTTCTCAAGTCTTTGTTTTACTTCATTCTTTCTCCTGAAAGGGTACTTTGCTGATGTCACTTCTGGGGCCATGGCAATTCTGCCTCCGTGGGCTGAGAGGTCCCTCGTGGCCCACCTACGTTGCTGCAGCCCCTCTGTCTGTGCACCCTGGTGGTCCCGGCTCGGCCTGGTGTCTAAGGCCTTCTTGTAGTCTCTGGTGGCTGTGATGTCACTGTGGGGGTGGACACTGTCACGCACATCTGCCCAAGTGTGATGGAGTGGGAGGCCCCGCGTCTGGCCACAGTGGGTTCCCTAGCGTGAGCCCAGGCTGGGCAGGCAACCCAGTGACGGAGCTGACTGCTCCTGGGCTTCTCTCTGCTCCTTTCTTTGTGACATTTAGTCGCCTGTGTCTGCAGCACCTGGCTGCATTCCTTGTGGAGAGTCGGTGCCTGTGCATACACATCTTCATTCTGCCTTCGTTCCGGCCTCCCCTCTGCCCTCCTCCACCCGTCACTCCCTTCCCCTGTGCAGGAGCTCTACCTCCCTCCTTCCTGTTGTCTATTTTGCTCTGTGATGTATCTAAACTTTGGGTTTCACCCACAGCCCCAGGCTAAACCACGGGAAGGCGCCAGCTCCATGGTTCAGATGGCCCAGCGCAGGCCACCCCGGGCCCAACCAGGCTGGTCCTGCCCAGTGCGGGCTCCCACGTGCCCGTCCTGACCAGCCATGCCCACCCCACGCCAGGGGCCACAGCAGGAGAGCGGGGACACTCACGGCTCCAGAGGGAGTAGGCCAGACGGCAGTTGAGGCGGCGGTAGAGCTGCTTGTTGATGGGCCACAGGGCCAGTGTGCACAGTTGCGTGAAGTTAATGACCAGCCCACTCACCACGAAGACAAAGCCGATGAGCAGGTGCACGGCGAACTGCGTCTTCAGGTAGGCGAGCAGGCCCATGGTGCACGCTCAGGGCCGGGCACAGGGGCCCTCACTGAGGACAGCTGTCCTGCGGGAGCACCGGAGCTGGTCAGTGGGTGTGAGGAGATCACTGCGCCTGCCCAGGACTGCAGCCCTCCCGACACACATGCACAGGCACACGCACACATGCCACACTCACTGATGCCACGCCACACGCCAGCACACTAACGCCAGTCATAACCACATACATCACATACACCTCAACACACTAACATGACATCACACACACACCACAAGTACACTAACCAGTATAGTACACCACTGACACGCTCACGCGGTACCACACACCACGCATAGGAGCACGGAGGCAGAACACGCACAGACACACCGCACGTGTGCACCCGCTCCTCGCCTCATAACAAGAGAGGGCGAGCAGCAGGAGCAAGACGCGCCCAGACGGCGACCGCCGCCAGGCGAAGGCATCGTGGGAGTTTCATTTCATCCACTCAGCATCTCTTGGAAAGATCAAAGCGCAGCGCAGCCCTGCGGGAGCAGCCCTGCCACATCTGCCTGCACCTCGCTGCTATGAAGCCTACGTGACAGCCTTTGGCTCTGGCACGGGTGACCGGGTGGCTGTCTGCCCATCCTTGGCAGTGCCCCTGGGGCGAGGGAGGCTGGCAGCTCCTACTTAATGGTGGCTCCGTGCTGCCTGGCACTGCCCTGTGATGCTGTGGGAACAGGAACAGCAGGGCCGTCAACCTCAGCCTGCCCCATGCCCCATGCTCGGTGCCCAGCCCGGGCTTGGGAAGGCACAGGCTCCTGGGTTGGCAGGGCAGCTCAAGGGCAAGCCCAGGGCACAGGAGAGCCCTGCCGTGGGCATCCACTGCCTGCTCCAGCCCTGGGCACTGCTCTGCCCTCTGCCTGGGGTGTGTGGGACCCCAGGTTCCCTGACCTGAGCACGAGAAGGTGCCTCCCGCACGCTGCAGGTGTGGCCCGGTGGGCGCTGTTGGGGGCTGGAGAGCTGTAGGCAGGGACAGGCCAGCATCCCTGCATGAGGCGCAGGGGACCTGAGCTTGCTGACCTGCTCCCAGGACAGACTGGCTGAGTGACGCGTCAGGACTTCCAGGCGAGTCGTGAAGGGCCGCACCCGCCGGCCCTGGGTGCTCGCGTGTCAGGGGATGCATGAGCCACCAGACAAGTCCTCCAGGCCTGCCAGCCCTCAGGTGGCCACTGCCCTGTGGCCAGGGCCCCACCCTCTGGAGGCTGGGGGTTAGCTGTTGACTGTTCTATGCCACTGAGCTCGGTAACTTGTGAAGCTGCTATGGGAAATTAACTCTTTGCTCCAAATACAAAGGACGGAAAACAGAAAGAGACCATGTGGGCCTTCCAGGGCCTCGCTGTGTTCCGGGTCTGCCCACACACAGCCCACGTTCGCCTCCCAGACCTTGCGGGCGACGCTCCTCTGACCCGGCCTGCCAGCAGAGCAGCTGGGGCAGAGCGGCTAAGTGGCCCTCGCAGCACCACACAGGGGCGGCAGAGGAGCCGGGTCCCAGCCCAGACTATGAAGCCCCGGAGTCCACGCTCCTGACCGAGCCACCGAGGCAGACCCTCGGGCAGTCCCAGGTCACCAGCTCCTTCCACCTCAGAGCCATCACTGGCTCCTGCCTGGCTCTCTGACCCAGGAGACTGCACCCTGGCCCAGCTCAGGGCCAATCCAGCTCCACACAGACCTGCCGGCTCCATCACTGCAGAGGGTCCAGGAATCTGGTTTGTGAAATCCTCAGCAAATCACTTACGCACAACTACACTGTGACAAGTAGGGCCAAGTGGAAAAGCAAGTGCCGTCTGGCCACTCGTGGACAACGCTGGGCTTGGCCTGGGAAGATGGGACCACAGGGCGAAGAGGTGGGCCATCCCAGCTAGGGCCCAGGCTGCTGGCGGACAGGACTGACCCAGAAAGCTGGGAGAAACCCACACCGCTGGCCCACAGAGCCCGGCATCAGAGAAGTGGGGTCTCACCTCGCTAGGACCTGAGGGGCCTGCGAGGCCTTGAGATGAAAAAGCCCAGAAGCCATTTGTAAACACAACCGAAGCCTGCTAGATCCCCCAGCACCAGAACTAGACAAGCAAATTCTGCAGTTCCCTCAACAGGTAAGGGGCAGGAAGTGCTGAGATACAACACAAGGGCAGGAAGGGCCTGTCCTTGTCACAACCACCAAGCCTCAGGGGCTGCACGGCACCACAGGGCTCCGCAGGTACAGCCTGTGACACCACCAGGGGTCCGAGCTCCGTGACAGACGAGCATCTGAGTCCCACAGCCCCAGACAGACAGCCACGGGGCTGCCTCAGTCCGAGCCCCTGGACCATGCAGCTCACATGCACCCTCCGTGGGCCACGGGACTTGGGTTTCTGCTGGACTTAGACACCATTAAAGGAAATAAAATATAGGACGAACTTAGAATGATTCACCGGTGCCTAGGAATCTCAGCATCACAGATTCTCCTAGCATCTCTTTCTCAATCCATGACAAACAGGTACAATTAAAGGACAGCCCAAAGCCCCCGTCCGACGCTTGACAGGAGGTTTCCTGCCCGACGTTGCCCTGGCAGGGGACAGCAGTGTGTACCCCTGGGCTCTGCCCTTGGAGCCCCGCCTAGAGCTGAGCCCCACAGGCAGCCCCAGCCCCACCAGCTGGCCGGGGTGGCTACTCGGGCAGCCCCAGCCAGGGAGGGCCCAGGGCAGCAGACAGCCACCTGCATGGGAGAGAGGCTGGGTCCCCAGCTAGCCACCTGGGGAGCAGTTGGCGCCGTCTGTTACTGAGCCTTTGTCACTAATGGGTCCAGCCTGCGAGGCGCAGGTGCTGGACCAATACTGCAGAGCACATGGCTCACACGCCCTGGGCACACAGGGGTGACACGGGGCGGCCAAGGTTGACTCCATCACCACCAGCCGCCTCACGGGCTCCTCGAGCGCAGCCACTGGAGAGGCCAGAGTCCCGAGCATGAGTCCCCAGGCCGCCAGGAGCAGGCGCCGCCAAGAGGGGGCCTCGCACTCGGTAAGAGGGTGCTGACGGGGTCCCCCACCTTCAGGACACGCTGAGCATCGTGCTGAAAGCAGAGGCCCACGCGGCCGGCGGCTGGAGGGGCCCAGGGACCCAGGGGCTGAGAATGAGGTCGCAGTGGTCACTTCCAGCCCATGAACCCTGAGAGGGTGGGGCGATGGGCCATGGAGGTGGGGCCACAGACCTGAGGACAGACCAGGCCCCGGTGCCACTGGGAAGGCAGCTGGTGGAAGACCCCAGCCCCCCACCTACCCCAGCCTCTGAGCTGCAGGGTGTTCTGATGGAGTCCTGGCTGAGCAGGGGCGTGCTGGCTGGATGGGTGGGTGGAGGGTCATGCGCAGCTCCCAGGGTTGATGACTGCACAATGGCCCTGTGACAGCCACCCAGGCGAGGCAGTGCTTCCCACACCAGGGCAGTGGCAGGGCTGGCAGAAGCCTAGGCGTCCTGCTCCACACCATGATGGCGGTCGCTCTGAGGCATGGCGGGCATCGGCTCTCTCACAGAGCCACGTGAGAAGCAGGCTTCCGGTCACCCCAATGCAGGAAGCTTGTCCCCCACCCCGAACAGGAGCACTGATGGGCAGGCTAGGCGCGGTGGCACAAAGGCAACTGGCAAGTTAGCAAGACGGTCTTGAAATAAAGAATAAAAGGGCCGGGATGCAGCTCCGTGCACAGGGCCTGGGATCAGCCCCAGTCCTGCAATAAAAGGGGGACCGAATAAAGCCTGGCAAACTGCAACTTCGTGCCCTCCTTTGTTCCAGCAGTGATGACCTGCACCCCGGAGTCCAGGGTAGATGGAGCGGGCAGACTGATGGGACCCACTCCCAGGATGGCCCCCGCTGTCCCTTCTGTGGGACCCAGGTGCCATGGGGACGTCGGGAGACCCCGAGAGAGAGGCAGCTGGATGAGCCTGGGAGCTGGGCGGTGAGCAGAGACACAGCCCTCACAAAGGAGAGCACGGCTCTAACGAGCAGCCCGTCCCGGAGCCTCCCAGTCCTGCGAATCGCACGCAGCACAGGTGGGCAGCGCTGTCAGGGCTCGGAGCAGGCTGGGTGGGTTCCGAGGCACCATCGAGAGCCCACATGGTGCCACGGTGGGCAGCGTCGCTCACTCGGCCCTTGGTGGCCAGAGCTGGGTGCCCGGGCAGGCGCCAGGCTGGAGGCAGCACTCCCTGCCCTGCCCAAGGGTCCCTGTGGGGAGGGAAACAGGCCTGGACCTCAGGCAGGGCACAGGCAAGCGGTAAGTGTGACTGGCCCACTGGGCGCAGCGCGACGCAGACTCTGGCCGACAAGGAAGGCCCCTGGAGGACCGAGGAGACGCAGGGCCTCCTGCCCTGCCTGCCGCCTCCTGGGAGGCCCTGGGCCCAGTGACCCGTGCCTGAGTGCTCCCTGGGGGTGCAGCAAAGCCGCTGCGTGTTGACGGCAGCAGTGTGGGGTCCGCCCCGAGGCGCCTGCTCTGGAGCTGATTCTGAAAAGCCACATAAGTCAGGGCCTGAATCTCCCTGGTCCATCTCTTTCTTAGTGTGCTCTTTTCTTTTCTTTCCCCAAAGCCCCAAACGTTGACACCAACCTGCAGTTCGGCTCTGCGGTTTACCCAAGCGACCCCACCCACGGTGGCCAAGTTGGGGAGCTGAGAACGAGCACTGTGTGCACCCCACCCTGGCCACCAGCTCCTGAGCAGCCTGGCTTTCTATGCTTTGGGGAACAAATTTCTGTCTCCCGCTCAGGTGGTGCCACTCAGAGAGCCCCTCAGAGCAGCCTGGGCCTGTCCCACCCACCCTTTGCTAATGGAGAGTGCTGTCCCCAGCCGTGGCAGGGACTCCAGGCCACACGAGCTCCTTACCTCCCTCTTCTCCGTCCTTCGCTCCTGCTCTGGACTTGGGGCAGCTAGGGCCCGGGCGGAGGGACTGGTGGCCTCCTGCCCAGCAGCCGGCAGGACACGGGACTGCCAGTTACGGCCCTGCCACGTCCCGGAGCAGGGTCACACCCAGAGTGCCAAGTGGGTGAAAGGTCAGGCCAGGCAGAGGCTGCAGCACAGGTCTTGGCCGTGTGGCCCGGGGCTTAGCCTCTAGCAGCCCCGTTGGTAGACACCGTGCCCCTGGGTGACATCAGAGCGCAGAGCGGCGCTGCAGAACAGCGCTGCCCCTTGGCTAATGTCTCTTCCCTCGCCTGCCTGGTCTCTGCCTTTCCCACCTCGCCTCCTCCAGGGGGCGCCACCACTTCACACCCATGCCCACCGCAGGCTGCCCTGAAGGAGAGGGGTGCCAGGCGGGGCTGCAGCAAAGCTGGAGGGCACAGCACTGTCCCCAGCACTCTGTACCGCACCTTGGCCACATGATCTGGGGCCTGGCTCCCTCCTCCAGGCCCGGCTTCCAGGGCACCAGGGTGGGGGTGGGAGCTACTCACCCGGTACCTAGGCTCGGCCAGGGCCTGGCACACAGCAGGCGGCCGATGAGGCCAGCGGGAGCGGGGGAGAGGAAGGGCACTTCTGGAGTACGCAGCTGACACCAAGGGACAACCAGGGCTGGGCGATGGGCGGGCTTCAAGGACACCCCCTCCGCACCACAGACGTGCCGCCTGCAGCTCCCACACCCCCCACTCTGCCCACAGAGCTGCACCCGGGGGCCTGGGAAACCGAGGAGAGCGAACGGCCAGCAGGAGCCAGCAGGCCAGCCGACCACGCTCCTCCCCACATTACAGGCTTCCTGACTGCACCGTGCACCCCAGGGACGGGCGGGTGCTGCAGCCAGGACAACAACTCCTCGGCTTCAGAAGACTCATTTCCAGGACAACCGCCGGGCTCTGCTCACAGAGCTCCGCACACAGTCACTGCACGCCTCGGTGTCTGTCCACGGGTACTTTCAACCAGGACACACACCCAAGCCTGGCCACTGCTCGAACTGTGTAGTTTGGGCGCAGTCCCAAGGAGACTCAAACTTCAGCCGTGGTTCTCCTAGTCTTCCCTGGGCCCCTCCCTCCCCACAAAAATGTGGCTGAAATCGGCTACCTCACTGGCAAGAACGGGCTGGCTTTCAAGCCTCTTACTGTCCTCACGCCTGCACAGCCCTGGCTGCAGCGCCGCGCGCTGACCACCTGCCTCCCAAAGACCCCGAGGCATGCAAGGCATGAAGACAAAAACTAGGGCTGTCCCAAATGACACACAAGGTTTCAAAAGATTTAACTTCTATTCCTTTTTTGTGAACAAGATGTAGTCTTTTTAAGGATGTAGTCCAGCATAACAGGAAGGACTCAATCAAGTGAAGAGGAAGATGCAGGGACAAAAGGAAATGATTTGATTCTGGTGCAAAGAAAAAGTGCAGGAACTTTCTAGATGCCTGGAAAGAAAATGATCAAATTAGAACAGGAAGTTGGAGAAATATTTTTAAGAAAAAGTGGATTGTGTTCAGTAAAAGTATAATTAAAGGGATGGAAGTTTTTTATATTGAAGAATGCAATGTGTTTCTTTCCTCAAAAATAAAACACGAGGGGCTGGAAATATAGCTCAGTGGTGCTGCCGCCTGCCTCAAAAGTGTAAGGTCCTGAGTCCAATCCCCGGTACTGCAAAAACAAAAAACCCACACAAAGCTGGGCATGGTGGCATGTGCTGGGAGTCTGAGTTGTTTGGAAGGATGAAGCAGGAGGATTGCTCAAGCCCAGGAGCTCAAGGCCAGCCTGGCAACATAGCAAGACCCCATCAGAGAGAGAGACAGAGACAGAGAGACAGAGGTTGAGGTGGGGATCAAGATTTCTCAAGTCCTGTGCAGAGAGAGTAGGTCCAAGTGCAGAGCAAATCGACATGGGGCGTGACTTCCACAACCTCTGAATGACCTGCTTCAGGACTGCAGCCAGGCTTCTGCACAGCCTGGGTCTCGGCCCAGGCCTCAGGCCCCAGGCCCCAGGCCCCAGCCCCCAGTCAGGCACCCCGAAGTCTGCCCCACACACCACGGGGCACATTGCAGGCGACCCGGGCCGGGGCACTCAGGCTGCACTCCAGTCCCATCCTGGCTCCATGTCTGGGCCACGGCCCAAGCATGAAAGGTCCCCTTTCCCATCTGAGGGTGAGAATAGCAAGCTGCCTCTGCCACGTGTGCTTCGGGCAGCTCTGAGGAGCGGCAGAGTGTGCCTGGGCACAGGTGTCACGGGCAGCACAGCGGTCCCTTGGTCACCCCCACCCCAGCCTTGTCCATAGCCTGGAATCTGCCCAGTCCCCGTCTGCCAACTCAGGATCGAGACCAGCAAACCAAGAAGCTGTTCCCCAAAAAACACTGGATCGGGGACCATGTGAGGTGTTTGTGAAATGGCACAATTCAGCCACTAATCCCAAGAAAGGACTCAATACACAAGGGTCCCCTGGAAACTCCCAACCAGGGCACCGTGTGGTCTGTCACGTCCTGAAGACGGCCACACCTGCTCCCCAGAAAGGCTCCCAGCCCTGGCTCTGTGAAGCTCTGGCATTGCCTGCATCGAGCTGCACCAGCCCAGATTCACTCCCCGAAGGCATCTACGTCAGCAAGGCTTTATTCGCACTTGGGCACGCACATGAGTGTGCACCTCTTCCTGCAGGGCAGCTATGGTCATGGATCACGCACGCATGTGCATGGCCACTGCAGTCACACGATAGCTTCCGGTGCCAGCTCCTCTTCCTCAAGGAGACAGGGCTAACTGTGGATCCCGGCACCCACACACGTGTGCGCACGGCCGGCCCAGAAGGGAGAAGCAGGGCTTCTGGAGGGCGGCCTGGAAGGCTGCTGAGGTGTCACTGTGCAGTGACTCTCGGTGGGATGAGTTGTTCTTTTGTTATCTTCTTTTTCAACAGGGTTTTGCCCAAGTGAGTGCACAAAAAGATTTAGCAACAAGGTCAATTCACTTCAAAGTTTAAGGTGGCAGGAAAAGCAACGAAGCTCCTCCTGCTCTCACCCTAACAGAAGGCACCAGCCCTGGACAAGGCCGCCCCCCACCCAGGGCCCCCGCTGTTTGGGGCCTAGGTCGGATGGCCTCGGGCAGCTCCAGCGGTGTGTGGCGTGGAGCAGGCCCTGGGAGTGTGGTAGGGTAGTGTCTACCCTACTAGTTTATCGACTCAAAGCACACCTGCTTTCCTGGCCCAGGGTGCACTGCAGGGAGCTCTGGTCATCGTGACGTCTGCAGCAGTGACTGCAGACACTGTCCTGAGCACAGGCGGGCCCTGCATGGCCCCCTTGGTGCTACCGCCACACCTGTCCCTGCCCAGGCCCCACCCCTGAGGGTCGCTCCTGGAGCCTGGGAATCCCTCACCGGCCTCGTCCCAAACCCTGCACAGGGCACAGCACCCTTCCCTCTAGCGCCTAGCTCACCCCACCCCTCTGCTCTTCTCCTTTGGCTTTGATAAATCGTCTCGATCACATTTCCATGAACCCGAGGGTCGAAGGAAGAAGCCTAAAGGCCCTAAAGGCCCTCGACGCTGGGCACCGCAGAGGTGTGCACAGGTCTGGCCTGGAAGCCGCAGAGCCCAGAGCACCACTCTGTCTGGGCCACTGTCCTTCCCGGGGAGCAGGCAGGTGCAGTGGGCACACTGGCCTGCACCCGAGGGTCCCCAGAAGCCCTGTGACCACGCCCACGGTCGGGGCTCAGCCCCCTGCTCAGGCCCCACCCGCAGCCATCCTCACTTCTGCAGAGGCAGGACGGGCATGTGGCCCCACTGTAGGGCCAGACCTGGGGACCACGGAGCATCCTATCTGACCCAGGTGGGCTGAGTGCTTGAGGACCCCGCGCCTCCCCAGGACAGACATGACGACGGACCGACCTGCCCCATGCTCAGTTCAGACTGTGGACCAGCTCACCCAGACCCAGGGGGATGGAGCAGGACAAGCATGGGCACGGGCAGAGGACCACAGCCCCCAGTGCCAAGCACGAGTTCTCAGGAAGGCACCGAGCCTATGGCCCCAGGATACACACTGACCCTGCGAGCCACCTTCAGCTGTGACCCCAGCTACCCAGGAGGCTGAGGCAGGAGGACAGCACTTTTAAAACCAGCCTGGGCAACTTAGTGAGAACTTGTCTCAAAACACGTTTTTAAAAGGGGCTGGGCTTGCTGGGCATGTGTGAGAGCCAGGGCTCCATCCCCAGTGCTGAGAGACTGAAAGGAGGGAGGGAGGGAAGGAAAGGAGGAGAGGAAAAGCCTTTGGTCAGAGGGGCACCAAGGGCCTCCAAGGGTGGACAAGCTCCCGCCACCTGCGGGGTCCCGGCTGGGAGTGTGCAGCAGAAGCCTCAGCCGCACTCACCAGTAGAAGTAATAGGCCAGGGCAGCGGCCACCAGCGCGGTGCAGACGCCTGAGAAGAGGCAGGTGGAGGAGTTGGCCGGCATCTTCCGCCCTCGGTCTGTGCACCTCACAAACTTGGGGAGCAGGCGCTGGCAAGGGAGCAGGGTCGACTCCGCCCAGAGGGTAAGGGTAGAAACCAAGGCCGAGATTAGGGCCGGGCCTGCACCAGCCTCGGACCTGACAGGCAGTGCAGCGTGGGGCAGAGAGGGAGACAAGCCTCTGGGGGCCACCGTCCCGCCAGGGACCCCTCAGTGACAGCAGGACGTACCACAGCGGACACACAGCAAAGACCCGGCCTCTGCTGCCACGCAGGTGCCCACTAATCCAGTAAGCGGCTTTCCCGGGAGCTGCTGTCAGCAGGAGCGTCAAGGCCGGCCGGGCACCCTGACCCCAGGCTCGGGCGGGGCTCCAGTGGGGCAGCCAAGGAGGCCGGCTCTGCGGTCCTGGGTGCCCCACAGTGGACACACGTCCTGGATGTGCTGCAGTTCCAGGCTCCGCAGGCCTCCCCCGGCCCAAGACCTCCCCTGCAATGCCGGCTCCCGGCTCCAGACACTGCATCCGCACCCCTGTCCCAGGCACAGAGAGCAGGGACCTCTCATTCCGCCGAGGGTTGGTATCCAGATGGCGCCTCCCAGCCCGAATCCTGAGACCCTAAGCAGCTCAGAGCAGAGCGGGAGGAGGCTGAACTGGGAGGACACCACAGACCAGGGCCAGGGCTGC